TTTGATACTGCTTTAACTGCCATGGCTCAATGCTATGGAATTCTGGGCTTGCAATCAAATGTAGTTTTAGGATATATTTAGCCTTCTTTGTCAGGGAGCTCTGGTGCCACAACAAACTACAAATCCCAGGGTTCCATGGGATAGAGCCACGGCCATTATAACGGTGTCAAACTACATTCATTCAGCAGCATGGCAGCAGCCTCAAAAAGATCAAACGCTTTCCTGTACCTTGACTCTTTCATTAATCAAAATGGAGACTGAAGTCAAGAAATCCAGGCAAGACTTGAGATCTGAAAGGGCGCCTATGAGGAACTAGATAAAATCTTTAAGCATAAAGATATATCATTAAGTAACAAAATCGGAATCTATGTATGGGTATGAAAGCTGGACAGCGGGAAATTTGACTTGGAGGTCACATATTACCCATGGACTGCATTCTGTCTGCGTAGAAAAAATAACCTATGCATATCCTCTTTTTGAGTCCCCTGCCCGGAAGAATTGGAACTTGAATTATTCTGCAACGTTCTTTGCTTATATATCTCCCCACTCCTTTGGATGCATTTCAAACATCTGTACATTTTTTTTCTTTTTATATATTCACACTTTCTTCCTCTTTCCCCTCCTCCAGCACCCGATATGTAAGTTACTGGTCTAGTGGGATTGCATAGCAGAAGCTGAGCGGTTCCAAGGGAGGAAGTTCTATAGGATAAAAAGACAGGAATTTGATTTCAAAGGCTTTGAAGAGAAAAGATTCCACATGCAGACCAGGAATAGGAGGGACAAAAATCTCTAATTTTGCCAGGTCTTGTACTATCAGGATGTTTCTTTCTAAGGTTGGAAAAGAAATAGGGCTCAAACCCAACCTCCCCCATTTCCCATGCAAAAAGACCCCCCCCATACCTTCCTTGCATGGTTTCTGGAATTTCTTAGATACAAATCAATGCTGAATAATGAACAGGGTTTTCTTTTAAGCCATCATGCACTAGGATGAGACGTATTAAATTTTGCAGTGATGTTTTGTTGCAAATTTTGCACAGAACCAGGCCTACATTGCAGGCATTCTGCACAGTTTGTCACCTGCACCATTGTAAATGATGACCAAGATTGCAAAAATTGCAAATATCCACCATGTGCAGAGTTATGCATGGATGATGCTAAGCTAACTACCAGCAACATTTACTATACAGGTTGAGTCTTCTTTATCCAAGACGCTTGGGAGCAGAAGTGTTTGGGATTGCATCGTTTTTCAGATTTTTGAATATTTGCATATACATAATGAGAAATCTTGGAGATGAGAACCAAGTCTAAATATGAAATTCATCTGCATTTCATATGCACCTTAGGCACAAAACTTGGAGCTTTCATAGTCTTAAGTATTTGTAGATGCATGTGATGAAGTAGACTTAAGTCTACAAAAGCTTATGCAACCAACTTCTTGTTCTCTGTTAGTCTGAAAGGTGCTACAAAATTCCTTTGCTCTGATAGTGTGTGTGTGTGTGTCTGTGTGTGTGTAAAGGGAGAAAAATGTTGGACAAAAATGAAAAATGTCTCTCAATAAGTGACACGTTCAGCTTCTTAAAGTCAAAGTGTTTCATGATATGGAGTATTTAGATTTCCTAATCAGTTCATCATGCATGACCTCACTATAAACTGCCCAGAAGAATTAACTCAGTCCCAGTCAACTGCCTGCAAACAATCCCCTAAAGTGAATCATTTGTCTTGCCTTAATGAGCAAGTCAGAGCAGATGAGGAGTTTGGGGAATCTTAAGTTTCTGAAGAGCAAATGAACATATCCTGCTCTGATGGCTTTGTTGAGACTTCCAAGGCACTGCCTTTGAGTCTCCTAATTTGAAAACTGCTCTGTGTAATTTCCTTTCTGATTCCTTTCGCTAGATGTCCAAGCACTAATAAAAAGTCAGGCAGTGTTCCTTAGGAAGAATTCCTAATTGCCGAGATGAGCCGTAACTTAAATGCTCTGAAGGATTTTCTCATTCTCTTTCTAATCATGCCACCATGAATATTAGCATATCAAGTTGCTTCTTCAGTTGATTTAATGTTCTGCTGGACATTTGTGGATACTCTAAAGGTGCATCTACACCATAGAAATAATGCAGTTTGACACTACCTTAATTGCCATGGCTCCATTCTACAAACTCCTGGGATTTGTAGTTTGGTGAGGCACCAACACTCTTTGGCAGAGGAGGCTAAAGACTTTGCAAAACTACAAATCCCCAGATTCCATAAGTTGGAGCTGCAGCACTTAAAGTAATTCCAAACTGCATTATTTCTACAGTGTAGATGCACCCATAGTCTCAGGGGCAGCAGTACACCAGGGCTGTCCTCCCTTATGGGAAGATTGCTGAAATAAACAATGGACCCTGAACTGCTGAAATGTCTTATATACAAATCCTGTGTAGTGTGTGTTTATGTGTGTGTGTTTGCATGCTTCTGTGCTTAGGAAATGCTCCATTGTGGGGCTAAAACTCTAAGAATACCCTAGCCTGGAAGGCCATTATCCATCCAGATCAGTTTTCCCAAGTTTTGGTATTATTTTATTAAATAATATGCAGTTGCCTCTCTGTTTTCGCAGACTTGAGGTCTGCAGTTTTCAATATTCATGGAGGGGCGACCTCCCTTAAAATCAATGGGGCACATTTCATTCAAGCCTATGGGGTTTGAATATTAGTGAGTTTCCATTTTCAGGGGGGGTCCGGAATGGATCCCCCATGAAAACAGAGGGCTGACTGTACTGGTTTCCTACTCAATAAGAGCTATCTTGAACTTCTGCCACCTAGGATGCAATCCAGCATCCCCTCAGCATAATGTGAACACTAACACCACACAACCCCATGCAGAATAGCAACATTGTGTGACACACGTCAATGACTGGGTTGTAAAACTGCAAGACACAACCGCAATGCTCAATGCTCAACCAGCAATGCACACCCATAATGCTGTAATGTCCCTATAGGCATAATTCCGCTTCCACCATTGTCAGCAGAATATTTCTGTAGTGCTGCGGTGGATAATTCATCCTTCATGCATAGCACAATCTACACATCCATGTGTCACTAACAGGATGCTGCCACAGTGTCTGCCTACAAATATTCCTTTGGAGCTTTCTTGTGGATGAGTTGACAGCAACAGAGTGCTTCACACCCTTGACAGTACTTTTGAGTTAAAGAAGCTCAACTTCCACACCTCTGGCATTGATGCCTTCCTGTCAGACTGCTGGAATAGTGTCTCTCTGGTTTTTTCTGGTGCCAGCCTAGGAGGAGAATTTGTATGCTCCATGTTTCTAGGCCCCAGGAACTCCCTTGGTTGTCTTCAGAAAGACACTCCCCAGGGAGGACTCCAAGGCCTGAAGAATGAACCCCACTGATGTCTGTCGTAAAGATGATTCAAGTCACCCACCTCCTGCTTGTTCCTCTGGTATTTTGCATAATTAAAACTGCCACATGCTTTCTTGGCTATAAGTGCATGGGAAGCGACACGCATGGCTCTGAGGGATGCCTTGGGGTTGTCAGGGTGCTGGATTATCTCCGACGCTCTCAGGGTGTTGACATTGCGATGGGGATTAAATTGGCATTTAAGGTTAAGAGGAAGGAAACAGGGTGGTTGTTCAGATCGTTTTCAACTGGGATTAATGGAGATGTTTCCTTTGCATCATGGAACAAGGGACTTAGGACCCTGGGGCTGAAGCGGATCCTCCTGAGTTCTCATTCTGGCCCACTGGGGTTACCTAAATGGCCAAATACACCATGCCTTCCAAGTATCCCAATTTGGCAGGGTAGTATGGAGGATTTTATGGGCATGCCTTGGCAAGGTCCTAGCATGAGGTTTCATGGCACCTGTCTCCATAAGTGGAATTACACATTGATTGTGCTGTGCAGCCCCTGTATTGAGTGGCAACTTTGTCTGACCAAATGCACTACCAAAGGTGCAACCTAATACCTAAACCTGTGTGTGTTCACATGGACAATTGTAATGCATGCATAGCACCATCTCAACCCTGAACTGAATGGACAAAATGCTTCTGAAGGGGAATATACCCATGGCAATACCCCCAAAATGAGTTTGGCCTTTAGATGACAGGAGAAGCTGTATCTAGGAAGCTGCTCGCTGGGTAAAATTTCCCACAATGCCATGGAGCACCTGGTGTCATGGGTGGCTTCCTCCTAGACTATCTGTGGATCTCTGTTGACCTTGTCTTCCCAGCACTTTTGTGACCTGAGAGGGCAAAACCTATCCTTAGTGATGCATCCGTTCCTTCTCCAGCCATGTTCTCAAATACCCTAGACTTTTTCTCAAACATGCACGGGATCGTTCAGATTGTTCCAGATGAGCCAGAAAAGCAGGCGCTTGCCAGATGGAAGAGAGTTGTATATAAATAGTATGAAATATATGAAATGAATGAAAAGTTAAGTGAGGAGGGCAACATGCTTTCCTTCAGTGTAGGATTTCCTCCATGGAGACATCATCAGAGCCTGTCAGAAGCTGGGCACATCTCCAAAGGTTAGGGAGGAGGCAAAAAAGAAAGTACAATTCCTGTTTTAATAGAGGACTATTTCTTTCACTACAATCTTTAAACAGCATCTCAGGGCAGCTGTGAAAGTGATATTTCAACTTACAGCTCGTCCTACCATGTGTTGCAGGGGTAACTAGCACTGCCTCCCTCTCACTTATGCTACACCCACACAAGACTGCATCCTACTGATGAAGTTTTTGCAAACAGGTTGGAAAAGGTACAGGGGATCAATCTAGATGAAAAGTTACGGCCTCAGCAACTTTTCCAAACTCTGATTGTAGAATGCATTTTCAGCCCCGCTTCCGTCTGGATGTGTGATGTTCACTGACTACTAAGTCAAACCTTTTCATCTTCCTCCTCTCAAGGGTTCAACTGGGGATACAAAGGATTGCCTTTTGTTCTGAATTTTTCCCCTCTGTTACCCAATGTTGGAGTTTTGGGGTCCTTTTTATGTGGTGTCTGTGCTCTGAGAGCCAATATGGTGTAGTGGTTTGAGCATTGGACTACAACTCTGGAGATCAGGGTTCAATTCTCTGCTCGTGCATAAAAACCCACTGGGTGACATTGGGCAAGTAACACTGTCTCAGCCTCAGAGGATGGCAACAGCAAACACCTTCTGATGAAACTTGCCAAGAAAACCCCATGATAGCCTTAGGGTCACCATAAGTCAAAAATGAGTTGGAGGCACACAACAACAGTGTGCTCTTTTTTGCCCTTTTGCTCCTGGGTCAGATGGCAGTCAGGGGGGCATACATACCCTCCAACTGTCCCGATTTGGCAGAGACAGCCCCGATTAATCCTCATTAATCCTCTTGTCATCCCACTTTTTCAGCTGCTTTTAAAATATCCCACTCTCTCCTCCTTCCACTTTCCCCCTTGGTCCTCGGCTTACTTCCATTGCCGCAAACTAACGTAACTTGAAGGCTAGTAAAAGAAAAGTGTGTTCATGTGATTATTACATGTTTGGTTAAGGAATGCTGGCAGTCTGTACGCTTTATTTTGTTTTGTTGAATTTTGTTAAGTTTATATTTCTTTCCATAAAAGTGTTTTTAAAAATAATAAAATAAACTGAAGAAGGTTCAGGGAAGAGCAGCAACATGTTCTCAGGCTCCCCTGAATATGACCTTTTGGAAAACTTTGGTGTGTGTTTGTGTGTGTGTGTGTTTTTAAAGAAGGATTTTTACTATAAGCTCTGGCTAAGCAGAATTCTCATAATGGACCTGCTGTTTTCTGCTGGTGATCAAACCACAAGTTAAACATTCTCAAGCTAAGCTGGAGAAAATATATATATATGAGGTCAAGAAAAGGTTTTTAGCCCCAAATGTATGGAAATATATACCCCCCAAAAAAATGCTGGACATCTCTTTGACTGCAGACCCACAATCTTGTTTTGTGAAATATTTCACCTTCTCTGTCAGAGAGCTCTGTGCCATAGCAAATTACAAATCCTAGAATTCCATAGCACAGAGCCTTGGCAGTTAAAGTGGTATCAAACTGCATTATTTCTGCAGTGCAGATGCAGCTGTGGATTCAGGGAGACCAGCCCTTGAATCTCTGTTCAGCCATGGAAACCCACAGGAATGACCTTGGCCAAGTCCCACTCTCTCAGCCTCAGAAGAAGGCAAAGACAAGTCTGAACAAATTTTGCCAAGAAAACCCCATGAAAGTTTCACCTTAGTGTCTCCCTAAGTCAGAAATGACTTGAAGGCCCAACAATAATGATACATGATCTCTTTTAAGAAGGACTTCTGTTGATCTCTCCCAAATGTCTAACTATTCAGCTTCATTAAAGGATCCCATTCAGGGATTTTGGAGATTGGTATCCCAAAAAGTAACTTATCCAAGCTTTGCTCCAAAGTAAGCACATGTGGGAAAAGACCAACCCAAGCAACCTGAAATGCCAAATTCTGTGGGCTTGAAAGCTATTCTAGAAGACCTTTTAGATCTCCAACCCTGTTACTTCTAAGGAAGAGGCTGAATGAATGTCAAGTCATTATAAATATAAATGTTTAACAGTTTATTCTAACTCTCCAATGGGAATGGAGTTAGTTAACTAGATTCACATTGCCTGTGATCTCTCCCGCCTCATACATTTTTTTCCTCTTTTCTTTCCTCTGTGGAAATCAGGATTTTCCTTAACAAAATGCAGTGTGGTCTTTCTTTCTCTCTCTCCTTCACCCTCCCTCTCTCTCATTCTTTCCCTTTTTTCTTTATATAAGCTCATCCCAATGTTAGTTTTCTTTGGCTTCCCCTTCGAAGGCTAAGCGATTTTGCTTTTGATGTGTTTTTTTATTGATGAATGAGTGCCTATAAATAACTCTCCAGGGTAGCTGTCTGCTCTCCCCTCATGTTCTGCAGCAATTGGAATGACATGGAATAAAAAGGAGGAGAAGGTGGGCCGAAATTTACAGCTGCCTGATGTGAAAAATTTCGGGGGACTTCATACCCTTCAGCTTAATCTCTACAGATGTAAAGGCAAGAAATGTTATGTCTCCAACAACTCTGATTACACCCTCTTTGGATGGAAGGAGCAACTGGGTTGGTGATTGAAAGTATGCCGCCGCTAAGACTTTAATGTTCTGGATGAAATTCACGCCTTCTGGGATGATAGAAGGAGTTAGGGGTAGGTTTGGCAGGGATGGGATACACTTGACTTTGCTCCAGACACCTGTAGACATGCTCCTAGTGACAGGTAGAACATCTGGAGGGATAAGGTCAAATTGGTCCCACTGAAAACCTCCACCTCCTTTTTGCAAACAAAATCCAAGGTGCTGCTCCTCATTGTTGCACAGAAATGCTTGCAAACATTGGGATTCCATAGATGGGATGTGTTTTTTCTGCTTGTTTGCTTTTGGGCAGAATAGAGACTGAGGGTGCATCTACACCAGTGGTTCCCAAACTTTGGTCCCCCCAGACCTTCGGACTTCAATTCCAGAAACTCTATCCAGCTTGGCCCATATTCAGGAATTTTGGAAGATGAATTTCAAAACATCTAGAGCAGTGATTCCCAAACTTTGGTCCTCCAGGTGTTTTGGACATCAACTCCCAGAGGCCCTAGCCAGCTTGGGCAACAGTCAGAAAGTCTGGGAGATGAAGCCCAAACCATCTGAAGGACCAAAATTTGGGAATCACAGATCTAGAGGACCAAAGTTTGGGAACCATTGATCTACCCTGTAGAAACAATGCAGTTTGTCACCACTTTAGCTGACATAGCTCCATGCTACAGACTTCTGTAGTTTTGTGAGGCACTAGCACTCATTGCCAGAGAAGGCTAAAGATCTTGTAAAACTATAAATCCCAGGATTCCATAGAGTGGGGCTACAGCACTTAAAGAGGTGTCAAACTGCATTGTTTCTACATATGGTGTAGGCAGCTGCCAAACTGCAGAATTCATGTAGTTGGACACTGCTTTAACTGCCATTCCATCATATGGACACCTCGGATCTGTAGTTTGTTGTAGCACCAGAGATCTCTGAGAGAGAAGGCTAACTATCTCACCAAACCACAAATCCCAGAATTCAATAGCATTGAGCCACGGTACTTAAAGCAGTGTCAAACTGCATTATTTGTTCAGTGCAGATCCACTAGTAAGTGTTGGGTTCCACATTTGTGGAACAGCCTTCCTTTGCACCTCCAACTGGTTGAGGATCTTACCTGGTTTTGTAAAGTGTTGAAGACCTTCCTCTTCGATTTGCCATATTGCTGAGTTGCTGAGTGTGCCTAAGGTTGCCAAGATAGGTAGTGACTGATAAGGAGTTTGTTTTAGTATATTACATATTAATTTAGTATTTTAGCATATTATAGAATTGTGTTTTATTGTCTGGGTTTGATTATATATGTTTGATGTTCTGACCTTTGGTGGAAAGGGCATTACAAATAAACGTTGTTGTTGTTATGTGTTTAGTGTGCTAGGAAACCATTGTCTCTGTTCGGTCCACTTTTCATGGACTGGAGTTTGTAGATGTATTCCAATTCTGCTGGTACTCTTTCCAATCTTCCAAGAAGTCCAAGAAGCGACTATGGAGAAGGGTAATCTAAATTCTTTTCCCTCATTGTCTAATTTTCTATGTGCAGAGAATTGTATGGAGAAGCATTTGTTCAAGGGAGCTTCCATCTCCATCATTTCCTTTGTCCAAAAACTTTCAGCAAAAGGTGAGTTATTTAAATGGGAGTTAGGGACAGGAAGCCCCGAATCAGGTGCGGTTTTCATGGCAACAGTCCGGACCTGATTTTTTGAAGGAAAAATTCATTGGGAGAGGTACCTTATTTTCCTGCGTATAAGACTACTTTTTTACCTGCAAAATCTGTGGCTAAAGTGGGGGGGTAGTCTTATACGCCGGATATAAGGATAATGAGGATAGAGGTGCTAGAACTCTATATTTTGACTGGAAAATGGGGGGGTCGTCTTATACGCGGGTCGTCTTATGCGCCGGAAAATACGGTATTCTGATTTGGGGGACAATGCTTTGATTTTGTTCCCAACATAGTTGCACCCCAGAGTGGCCGGTTTAGTAACCCTTTAAATTTCCCATTAAGTGTAGAATCATTATAGAGAAGTGTAGAGAGCTATTGCGGTGTAGTGGTCTGAGTGTTGGACTCTGGAGTCCAGGGTTCAAATTCCAGCTCAGCCATTTAAACCCACTGGGTGACCTTGGGCAATTTGCAGACTCTCAGCCACAGAGGAAGGCAATGGCAAACGTTCTCTGAACAAATCTTGCCAAGAAAACCCCATGGTAGGTTTGCCTTAGGGTCGTCATAAGTCGGAAATGACTTGAAGGCACACAACAACAACAACAACAAAAGCAATGTGGGAAATTAAAATATGAACCACACCTTGCTGCTGCTTTTCATGGCCAGGAAAACCAACCTGGCATCTGCTAGAGGACCCCCTTTGAACCAGAGTTAGCTCCCAACAGATCATGGAAGTGCTTCTTCTTTGAGGATTGCAAGTCCACAATCCCCTGGCCTTGGGGCCTGAGAGATTTGGAGAGGTGTGATCCAAAGAAGTCACATTCTCCAATTCAACAAAAATCTCAACAGGCCAATTGTGATATAGCCAGTTTCTTTAAATGACAAGTGTTCCTTTTAACCCGCAAAGGAAACACACACTTTATTCTCTGTGCTTCCTGGTGTACAAAGGAGCAAGGGGACCCCTCTTGTGCAAGAAACAACACGAAGGGATTTTTTTTGGTTTTGTTTTTGACCTGGTTTCCAGAAATGTGGGAAAGTTTATTTATTTCTCCATGCATTCCTGATTTGCAATGTGCTCTCTAAAAATGTCACTCAGATTTAGGCTGAGTGAGCTCATGCTAAATTTAGCAGTGATCTTTTAAACAAACATTCTTTATGCTTTGCTGAATGGGCACCGAGGCTGGATTAAAAGTCAACCGTGTTTGCAGGAGCGCGACTCACAATGTTTCATTCTTCTCTGCACTTTCGGCTCAATTGCTTGCAACCTGATGGACTGAGGTGTTTGTGTCGGGGAGTATGTGTGTGTGTGTAACTGGTATGACTGTGACATCCCTATGGCATATGAGAAAGAAC